ATATATATATATATATATATTGACCATATTTTAACCTTGCTATATTCTAAACTTATTGTAAGTCTCCCAACAGTATAACAAATAATTAAGCATCTAATTATTGATCAAGCAATTAAATATGCAATGAGAATTCAAAATTAATCGAGAAAAGCGAGAAAGTCTTGAATTAAAATAATTAAACAATATGGTTCATCTTCATCCAATACAATTTCGGATCTAGCCTATCATGATTTCGTACAAAATTACAAGAAGAATAATGGGAAAAAATATGACCTGGATAATAAAACAATTCGAAAGATGTTGATTTTTAAGTCAAAGGTTGAAATCTTCAATTTCTTAATGTAATTAGCCTTCAATTATTGCTAGGTTCGATCTTCTCTCCCAAAACATATGAATTGGACTCATATTCTTGATAAATCTTATGATATAAATGTCTATTGAGTGGCTAGAGAGAGTTCTACCCAAGTATAGCCCTTGTCTTGTACTTATAGGAAATGTAATTAGATCAAGAGAATATATACAACTCGAGTTCCAAAGGTGTTTGAATTTAAAAATAAAATAAAATTGACCCTTTTAGAAAAATTTGTACTGTGTGCCCACGCTAGTCTAGTTGCTAGCATGCTCATCGTTCACTGGTTCAGGTTGGTGATTTTGGCACAAGTCGCACACGCTGTTTGTGAGATTTTTTCTTCGAGCATGCATCAATAGTTTTGTCATAACTCTCTTTCGATATCTGATTGAAGCGATTCAAAATGCGTTCGAAAGCTTACTCAAAAGGCTAAAATTTTTATACCAATTCAAAAGTTTACTATGCCAAAAATAGGTCTTAATTTGAGGCTACAAATTTAGAGCATGACTTGTTACGTCGAAAATTGATTATGCTTCAATTTTTCACTCCTTTGACTACTAATTGCTTCAAACTGATCCTATGTTGTCTTCAACCATCATTTTGTGGTCCGAATCAACTATTGAATTTTTACACTTTGGTCCTCTAACTTTGGATCTCCTATGTTTTTGCCCTTTCTCACTCCTTTGTTTAATTCTCTCAATTTGTATTGAGTTTTACCTAATAAATGAAATATATACATAATTAAATCATAATTCATCAAAAGCCACAACAATTAGTCTTATTTAACGGTCCAGATAAATATACAAAACATATTTATCATTTATTTCAACTAAACCTTGATGTTTTAAATCAATATCTAATTTGCAAACAATAATCTTATGTTCAAACTATCTGCTATCTCATAAATACATACATAAATCATTCATAAAGTTACTTGATATTTTGTTTTTTATTCAACTGTATTTAATAAAAATTACTTAGAGACAAAAGACGCCACCTAAATCAAAATTGTTGTTTTATTCCTTTCATCGGAAGCCCACAAAATTGTTTAATTTCGATGTTGCACAAATGAAATTATTCATGATGAACCTTACAAAATAAGAACCTGATGGAGCAAGTAAACGAGTAAAATTATCTATAGTTGTTGACTCTTCATTTATTTCTACCAAAAAATTTTAAAAATAAAAATAAAAAATCTAGATCTAGCATAACTATATATGTAATATGTCTATATGTGTGTGTGGGGGGGGGGGGGGGGGGGGGGTGAAAAAAATATATATATATATATATATATATAGGAGTGTTAAATGTAAAATTATCCTCTTAATACATATTCCAACAAAAATTAAAAACTGAAATTTATTCTCAAAACTAGAGAATAAAAGCATTAATTATTTTTATCATTCCTTCATCTTAATTATCAACACATTCATTGAAAGATTTATTATGTCCCTGTTGGTTTCTCATTCTTTCCCTATTAAAATAAAAAATATGATCGTTATCCATCACATTAAACCAACGAATTTGAATTTCTATCTCTTATATGGGGTCTGTAACGACTATATTTTTTTCATTCTCATTCTTAAAAAAATGGAAAACAAACGGGACCTATAACTTTGTAAGAAGATAATTAAGAAACTATTTTATTTTAGTCAACCATTCATATTCAGTATAAGCGACGAAATTACTAGAACAGAGATTCCTCAGAGAGAATAGTTGTCCAAAACAAGATTCTTCCATACAAAATCTCACAAGTTCTTAACATAAAAACCCACGTAAACCCCACAAAAGGGAAACCTGTGACAAACAAGATTGTACTCTGGATCATTTTTTTTAGCACATAGACACTGAGGAGTGAGGACACATATATACAAAACTAACAAACTTTAATAACTCAAAAATTGAAACCCCTTATAATATAATTATATGAGCACAAAATGGGTCCCTTCAGATGAAGATCCAAGGATTAAAAAAAATGGCATGCGGTGAATTTTTCTATTGCTATATGCAGCTAAGGTCGATGAGATGGAGAAAGTGTAGGATTTTATTAATAAATAAACCTAGTAAAACCCCAAACCGTATCCCTAAATTTAATGAGTTCTCTTCTCTTGAGAGTCCTTCCAATTCCTTCAAACATGAAGTGGCACATGCGCAGAGTCCCTACTTCCCTTATTGCCACAATTATATGCAGTGGGATAAATTCACCGTCACGATCATCACCAAATTCATCATAAAAAAAAATCTAACTTGTCTTCGTTTGGCAATTAGAGTTTTCTCTAAATAACATGTAGCTACCCAATTTCCGTGTTCGGATTTAGCTGATGAATCTTTGTAAGTGTGTTTTGTGCACTTATTTGGACCATATTACTAAATTTTTATATCATCAAAGTACTGATTCTACTTAATTTGGATTAATTTTCTTTTGTTTTAGTACTGGATCCATTATGAAGCAATTGAAAAGAAAGAAGAATAAATTAGCTATTGAACGAAAAGTTTGTAGATCAAATTCTACACTTTTGATATTGAAGAACTAAGTTGCATTTGAATAAAGTGAGGCCGTGGAAGAGAAATTGCAATTTATTGGGCCTTAGACCAATTGTAATGTGGACAAAATTACAAATGAATTGGACAACTTAGGTATTAAAAAAGTGGGAGCTCGAGGAATTTAGAAAGGAATTCGACTTCTAAATGGAGAGAACAACATTGGCCGCTGTTGGACGGAAAATTATATATAAACAAAGACACTCAGACAGAAAAAGGGGGCGGCTGGAAGAGTTAAAGGGGATTACGCAAAAAGGGGAAACGGCCGCCGGACTTACACATGCACACGGTGACAGAGGCTGGGAAAAGAGAAAATAATGGACTTTTTGGGATTAAAAAAATCAGCAAACGACGGACGGAAGGCAGCAACTTGAGAGAAAAAAGTTTCAATTCTTTATACATAAATTCATCAATAACTGCACAAGGAATTTGAAAATTAATTACGTTCCGTCACTTGCTGTCTTTTAAAACGAACGATATTTCGTGACAAGTTTTTGATACGGGATTTTTTTTTTTGGTTTAATTTCATTTAACTTGGCACTAATTCGAACTTTTTGGTTTTCTTTTATTTTTGTCTCTATCAATTTATATCAATGCTTCTATTTTCTTTCTTTCAAGTATTTTATGTGAAATTTGGAAGATGGTGAACTAATACCAATTGATTCAAAAATTGAATGTACTTTTTTACTTTAGACGAAGAGAAGCAAGAGAAGCACAACAATAAGAGATAGCTATTGCACAAAATAATCCAATCATTCAACTAAATGAAGGGACAGTGATTGTTCACGAAATAATTCTTTCGATTTAAAATTACCGCAAGTGTACAGTTCGTAACAAGTAATAAAGTGAATTTTTAAAAGTTCGAATATCGTCCCTCGGAGATTGAGTAGTTCAATTCTATATAATCTAGTCTTAACCAAATCTAATTGAGTGAAAATATGGTCTAAATGCAAAAAGCCCTAATTTCAATTAAAAACCCTAATTTCAACTAAAAACCCTAATTTCAATTGAAAACCCTAATTTCTCAATTAGAAAACCCTAATTTCTCAATTAGAAACCCTAATTTCGAAATTTCTCTAATTAAATGATTCAAACACTCAAGTAAATGAAATTAAGCAAGTTTAAAAGCTAATTTGTTAAAATGAATCAAACTAAAGTCACTAGGATCACGAATCCCCAATTGAAGTTATAAAAACCCTAATTTCATAAAATTAATGATTCAATGAAAATTTGTCAATTCAATGTTCCTAATTCTATCCAATAT